ATCAGAATATAGTATTGACCTCTATAGATCAGTCTATAGTCTTGACTATAGATCAGTCTATAGTCTTGACTATAGATCAGTCTATAGTCTTGACTATAGATCAGTCTATAGTCTTGACTATAGATCAGTCTATAGTCTTGACTATAGATCAGTCTATAGTCTTGACTATAGATCAGTCTATAGTCTATAGTCTTGACTATAGATCAGTCTATAGTCTTGACTATAGATCAGTCTATAGTCTTGACTATAGATCAGTCTATAGTCTTGACTATAGATCAGTCTATAGTCTTGACTATAGATCAGTCTATAGTCTTGACTATAGATCAGTCTATAGTCTTGACTATAGATCAGTCTATAGTCTTGACTATAGATCAGTCTATAGTCTTGACTATAGATCAGTCTATAGTCTTGACTTCTGATTAGTCTATAGTCTTGACTATAGATCAGAATATAGTCTTGACCTCTGATTAGTCTATAGTCTTGACTCTGTTCATAGTCTTGACTATAGGTAAGTCTATAGTCTTGACTACAGGTCAATCTGTAGTCTTGACTATAGACCAGTCTATAGTCTTGACTATAGATCAGTCTATAGTTTTGACTATAGATCAGTCTATAGTCTTTACTAATGATTACTCTATAGTCTGTACTAATGATCAGTCTATAGTCTTGGCTATAGATCAGTCTATAGTCTTGGCTATAGATCAGTCTATAGTCTTGACTAATGATCAGTCTATAGCCTTGGCTATAGATCAGTCTATAGTCTTGGCTATAGATCGGTCTATAGTCTTGACTATAGATCACTCTATAGTCTTGACTATAGATCAGTCAATAGTCTTGACTATAGATCAGTCTATAGTCTTGAGTATATATCAGTCTATAGTCTGGAATTGCGATCAGTCTTGAATATAGATTAGTCTGTAGGCGCGATTATTGCTGAGTCTATTGTTATGGCTATAGACCAATCTATAGTTTTTTCTATTGACCAGTTTGTCTATTGTCTTTACTATAGATTATTCCATTTTCTTGACTATAAATCTCTATACATGACTCTTGTTTATATTTCAATCTATTGTTTTGGATGCAGATTAGTCTTCTTTAATCTATATAGGGTTCTAAAGTATTCCTTAGTTTATTAAGTCAATCTGAAAATTTATATTTCATATATTCTTTTCTGATTGTACTTTGTGTGTACTACTTACTACCTGACTGCTAAAATGATAAACATTTTCAAAAAAAGAAGCGTTACCATTTGTCACTCCCCTTTTGCTAGATTAAATCAATCTTCGAACATACAAAAAACATTAAGTCAAATCTGACCTGCCCCATTTTATGCTAAATTGCTTTTTATATTATAAAGTCTTAAAAAATGTAAAAAGTAAAAAAATCATAAATCATATAGATTTACACACAGCATTCTTTATAATATATTTACATATACTGACGTATTTCATTATTAATCTTCCCTGGTCTGGTTTTATACAGATGATTACAATTTGCTTATAATAAATTAAACAACAAAAAATAATACTTGATTATTTTAAATAATTTTTCATAGAATTAAAGAAATATATTGTAGTTAATACACAAGAGAGACCGAAAAAAATATAAAAATAAAAACAAGAAAACAAAATTGTAATAATTGCATAAATTTTTAATATATCTACACGTACGGCTGGAAACAAGGTAAAAATAATCGAATTGGAAAAAAATATGAAAGAGATAATGGCACCTGTACAACAGCAGCAAATGCAGCACAGCATGGTATAGATACATTTGTATCTAAACATGACATGCGCAAGTGCAACTGTTGCTATAGTTGTGAGCACACATATGGAGAAATAAATAAGTACAAAACAAACACATGCCATTGAGTAAACATAAGACACGTAGATAAATAGCAACAACAAATAACGATTAAATATATGTTCGTTGTTGCAGCTGCAGTATGCACACAAACATAGATATTAGCATCTAGATACATATGTACAAAGGATTTATTTATTGCAGGTATATACTTCATGCCATATACATACATCTATATGTAGTTGTGTTGTATGTTGTATCTTTATGACCACCTGACCAGTCGTGTAAATACGTATCAAATGTTAAACAAAATCAAAATTAAAGAAAAACAAACCAAACCAAACATAAGAAAGAAATTGTTATTGTCTCTAAAGAAACTGGTTTAACAGGATTTTTATAATGGAAATACAATTTATTTTCTTTTCTTTCTTGCCTCATGCAACTGCAGCGGCAATAACTATGCAACATTGTTATGAAAAAGCAATAAACAATAAGAAATTGTATAGATAAAGTGGCAAAAGAAGTAAATGAAGAAGTGTGGCAGTAAGAATGTAGTAAAGTCGTGATGTCTTAAAATTGAGTTAAGGCTTCTTCGGGAAATTTTGTTTTTTAAAGCGTATGTGAAAGGAGTGTATGTATAAACATTAATTGGATTGAGAAATTATGGTTAGACGTAGTCGCACAGCAGAGCCCCTAATCGGATTATATATTATTTAAAAAATTTCAAAGAAAGCTATAGTCTGATCTATGGTTGATCTATAGTCAAGACTGTAGACTGGTCTATAGTCGAGACTATAGACTGATCTATAGTCAAGACTATAGACTGATCTATAGTTAAGACTATAGACTGATCTATAGTTAAGACTATAAACTGATCTTTAGTGAAGACTATAGACTGATCTATAGACTAATCTATAGTCATGACTATAAACTGTTCTATAGTCAAAACTATAGACTGATCTATAGTCAAGACTATAGACTGAACTATAGTCAAGAATAAAGACTAATTTATAGACAAGACTATAGACTGATCTATAGTTAAGACTATAGCCTGATCTATAGTCAAGTCTATAGACTGATCCATAGTTAAGACTATAGACGGATCTTTAGTGAAGACTATTGACTGATCTATAGACAAGAATATAGACTGATCCATAGTTAAGACTATAGACTGATCTTTAGTGAAAACTATTGACCGATCTATAGACAAGACTATTGACTGTTAATAGACAAGACTATAAACTGATCTCTAGTCAATACTATAGGCAGTTCTCGAGATTATTGACAGATCTATAGTTAATACTATAGGCTGATCTATAGTCCAGACTATAGGCTGATCTTAAGTCAAGACTATAGACTGATCTACAGTCAAGACTATAGACTGAACTATAGACTGATCCATAGTTAAGACTATAGACTGATCTTTAGTGAAGACTATTGACTGATCTATAGACAATAATATAGACTGATCCATAGTTAAGACTATAGACTGATCTTTAGTGAAGACTATTGAGAGATCTATAGACAAGACAATAGACTGATCCATAGTTAAAACTATAGACTGATCTTTAGCGAAGTCTATTGACTGATCTATAGACAAGACTATTGACTGTTAATAGACAAGATTATAAACTGATCTCTAGTCAATACTATAGACAGTTCTCGAAATTATTGACTGATCTATAGTTAATACTATAGGCTGATCTGTAGTCCAGACTATAGGCTGATCTTTAGTCAAGACTATAGACTGATCTATAGTTAAGACTATAAATTTATCTATAGTGAAGACTATCGACTGCTCTAGAGTGAAGACTATAGAGTGATCTATAGTCAAAACTATTGACTGATCTATGGTCTCGACTATAGACTGATCTATGGTCAAGACTATAAATCATCTATAGTCAAGATATAGACTGATCTGTAGTGATCTATAGTCAAGACTATAGAGTGATCTAAGGTCAAGACTATAGACTGATCTATAATCAATAATATAGTCTGATCTATGGTAAGACTATAAACATAAACTAATCAATAGTTAAGACCGTAAACATGACTGCAGACTGATCTATAGACAAGACTATAGACTGATATATGTATATGCAGGACTATAAACTGATCTGTAAGACTATATACTGATATTATGTGGTCTAGGAAAAGAAGCTGAATTATAGTCAATCCTATTTACTGACCAATATTCAGTATTTTAGTATATTTTTAATAAAATCTCACTATTGTTTTAGTTCTTTTGCATAGCAGAGTCTCGACAGCCGAACATACAATTTCTATTGTTATTTGTTTTTCTTAGTAATTTTATTTGAATTCTTTGTTGTCACACCAGTATTCTAAACAAAAAAAAAAGAAATAAATTACAACCGGATTTTTTGATTCTGTTTTTTGTGAATACAAATATTATTACATACTAACAAACTCGTCATGATTACGGCTCTAAGTTTGTGTGTTAAAAATGTGTATTGGTTTGTGGGATTAGCCCACAATACTCATACATGTATGTACATATTTGTATACTTTAGTATTTCTGTGTGCGTTGAATGTTATAAAGATATCAAGTAGTATTGTGTATATCTGCCTATTTACTTTCAGTACCCCCTTATACCCCATCTTTCGACCAATATTTGAGGTTTGAAATGTAAACTAACCTAAGTCAATGATCGTTGTTTTGTTGATTCGGTTATTTCACTAGAGTATTGTTGTGGATTTTGTATTCTAGCACTGGACATTGGAACATTGTAGTGAGGGCAATATATATTGGTTAAGAACGAACATATTTGTCTATAGAGAGTACGTGTTTATGGATTTTTTTCTGGTGTCGTGCTTGATGATTACGATGGTTTAGACAATAGCACGACGAATCTACTTTTATTGTGTATTTTGTGCGTAGAATTTAAAAAAGAAATTTTTTAAATTAAATTTATTGAAGGCTTGGAATTTTTGTTAAGATTAAAAGTGAATAAAATTATACAATTTTATTAATAAGTAAGAGTGTTAAAAAGAGTTAAACTAGAAGTCATCAACCTTTAAAAAAACTACATACATACATAAATGTCTAGTTGCATTTGTATTTTGCATTTGTTTTAGATTATTTCAATTGCAATTTAAAGCTCTTTAGCATATTTGTTAATTTAATACACATAATTAATTTAAGTAATTTAAATTCAAATTATTTATATTTTTTGCAGGTTTAAAAAATTAATAATATTCATCATAATTACCAAAAGCTCATAACACATATGTGTTTATGCATTTATTATCAGGATTTATGCTAATTAAAAATTAAATCAACTGGTAAGTTAATAAGATTTTAGACAATAACATTTTTATAAAAAAAATAAATTTTAAATTTAAAATACGAAAAAAGTCGTAGAACGATGTTCTGCAGACAAGACCATAGACTGTTCTATAATCAAGACTATCGGCTGATTTATTATCAAACTTATAGCGTTGACTGTAAATTGATCTATAGAGACTATAGACAGATCTATAATCGAGACTATAGACTAATCTATAGTCGAGACTATTGATTGATCTATAGTCGCGACTGAAGATTATAAATTGATCTATTGTCAAGACTATAGACAGATCAATAGTCAAGGCTATTGACTGATCTATAGTCAAGACTATAGTCAAAAATACAGACTGATCAGTAGTCAAGAATATAGATTGATCAATCGTCAAGACTATGGACTGATGTATAGTCAAGACTATAGACTGATCAATAGTCGAGGCTATAGACTGATCTACAGTCAAGACTATAGACTGATTAATAGCCAAGACTATAGACTGATCTATAGTGAGGACTATAAACTGATCTATAGTCAAGACTATAGACTGCTCTATAGTCAAGACGTTAGACTGATCTACAGTCCAGACTATATATAGACTGATCTACATTTAAGACTATAGACTGATCCATAGTCAAGACTATAGACTAATCTATAGTCAAGACTATAGACTGATCTATAGTCAAGACGTTAGACTGATCTATAATCAAGACTACAGACTGATCTATAGTCAAAACTATAGACTAATCTATAGTCAAGACGTTAGACTGATCTACAGTCAAGACTATAGACTGATTTATAGTGAGGACTATAAACTGATCTATAGTCAAGACTATAGACTGATCTATAGTCAAGACGTTAGACTGATCTATAGTCAAGACTATAGACTGAGCTATAGTCAATACTATAGACTGATATATAGTCAAGACTATAGACTGAGCTATAGTCAATACTATGGACTGATATATAGTCAAGACTATAGACTGATCTAAAGTCAAGACTAAAGACTGATCTATAGTCAAGACTATAGACTGATCTACAGTCAAGACTATAGGCTAATCTATAGTCAAGGCTTAATACTGATCTCTAGTCAAAACTACAGACTAATCTATAGTCAAGACTATAGACTGATTTAAAGTCAAGACTATAGACTAATCTATGGTCAATAATGTAGACTGATCTATAGTCAAAAATATAGACTGATCTATATTTAAGACTATAGACTGATTTATAGTCAAGAATATAGACTGATCTTTATAATATCAAACCTATATCGTTAAGACTATAGACTGATATATAGTATATTATATAGTAGTACTATATACTGCTCTACAGTCAATACTATAGACTGATCTATAGTCAAGACTATAGACTAATCTGTAGGAGAGTCTACAAACTAATCTATAGTCAAGTCTACAGACTAATCCATAGTCAAGTCTATAGACTAATCTATAGTCAAGACTATAGACCAATCTATAGTCAAGACTATAGACTAATCTATACTCAGGACTATAGATTGATCTATAGTCAGGAATATAGACTGATCTTTTTAGTATCAAGCCTATATCGTTAAGACTATAAACTGATCTATAGTATTGACTATAGACTGATCTATAGTCAATACTATAGACTGATCTATAGTCAAGAATAATCTATAGTCAAGTCTATAGACTAATCTATAGTCTAGACTATAGACCAATCTATAGTCAAAACCATACACTGATCTATAGTCCATACTATAGACTGATCTTTAGTCCAGACTATATACTAATCTATAGTCTCGTCTATAGACTCAACTATAGTCCAGACTATAGACTCATCTATTTTAGTACAAGTTTTGTTGTTTTTATCAACAAAAAACTTTTGTCATTAAATCCGAAATTAACATTATATTCAATATTTTAACTATTTTCTACCTCACAAAAGCAATTTTGCATACGTGTTTGGGGAAAAAAACTACTTCAAGAACTTAATGGATTGTAAATGTCAAATTGTTTTATTTATTTAATAGTAGTATTTACGTATATATAATAGCATTAAAAAACTTTTTAACCAACAAACACCTAAAGTGTTTTACCATGGCTACTGCAATCAACAAACACATGACATAATATCAACCATTTATATCAATATAAATGAACGCATTCAATCTAGAACTACCGTTCAAAAATGAAAATGACAATAGGGAATATCAGAAAATATATGCACATATGAAGCGTAATCACATGACGTTTATAAGAAAAAGTTAGATATTGTTCAAGAATATACAAAATTTGCAACTATATTTATACGAACTAGATAGCTGTGTTTTCCTCAACACCCATATTCAATCCCAAATCCACAATACAATAATAAAGCTTGGAAAGTTATCACACAAACTTATGCCATTGTAAAAACAGAACTTTTGTATACTTACTCCCTTATTCATAACAATTTATTAAAGGTTTATGAAAAATTTATTGAAATTCTTAACCAAACAATTTCATTCCTTTAAATCTATTGATTGATACTATATGTACTACTGCATATGCATATGTCAATGCAAATTTTTCGTAAATTGCTTCCTTGATTTTGCCAAAAAAAAAAGATTAAAACAAATTCCTTTTTGGTACAAATAAAATCCATTTCAATTGTGGTATGTTGATAGAAAATCCCATAAGTATTGTGCTCCACAACTCGAACACATTACAATTACGGTTTTAAAAACCCGATAGTTTTTGTCGGAGTGAAAAGAAAATTTGATCGAAAATTTTCTATAAAAAGAAAATTTTCAATGGAAAGAAAATTAAAGAATATTTACAGAAAAAATCGAATTTATAAAGAAAATTGACTTTAGCTATAAAGTCAACTATGAAGTAATCTATTGACAAAATTATAAACTGATCAATGATCAAGACTATTTACTGTTCTATAGTCAATACTATATATTGACCTTATTATAGTCAGGACTAAAGACATATCTATAGTTAGGATTATAGACTAACAGATCTGTAGTAAAGACTATATTAACTGATCTATAGCAAAGACTATAGACTAATCTAAAATCATCTCTATAGACTCATATATAATTAAGACTATAGATTAATCTATAGTGAATACTATAGACTGATCAGTAGTCGAGACTTTAAGCCGATCTATAGTCGAGATTATATAGTGATCTACAGTAAAGACTATAGACTGACCTATAGTCAAAGCTAAAGTTAAGACTATGGACTGATCTTCAGTCAATACTACAGACAGAAAGTAAATTTATCGGTAATTTTATATAAAAAGAAAATTGAAGACTGATCTATATAGTAGTTAAGTCTATAGACTGATCTATAGTAGAGACTATAGACTCATATATAATTAAGACTATAAACTATAGCTTAATCTATAGTGAATACTATAGACAGATCAATAGTCGGGACTAAAAGCCGATCTATAGTCGAGATTATATAGTGATCTACAGTAATGACTATAGACTCACCTATAGTCGAAGCTAAAGTTAAGACTATGGACGGATCTTCAGTAAGTATATGTAACTGATCTATATAGTAGTTTATTGACTGATCTATAGTCGAGACTATAGACTCATATATAATTAAGACTAGAGATAAATCTATAGACTATTGATTTTCCTATAGTGAATACTAAAGACTGATCAGTAGTCCAGACTATAAGTCGAGATTACATTGTGATCTATAGTAAAGAATATAGACTGACCTATAGTCAAAGCTAAAGTTATGACTATTGACTGATCTTCAGTCAATACTACAGACAGAAATTAAATTTATCAAAAATTCGATATATAAAAAAAAAATATTGAAGACTGATCTATATAGTAGTTAAGTCTATGGACTGACCTATAGTCGAGACTATAGAGTCTATAGTCTCTATAGTATAGAGCCTCTCATAGTATTGGAGACTATAGACTCATCTATAGTTAATACTATAGACTGATCAGCAGTCGAGACTATGAGCTGATCTATAGTCGAGATTACATAGTGATCTACAGTAAGTACTACAGACTGACCCATAGTTAAAGCTAACGTTAAGACTATGGACTGATCCACAGGCTCATCTATAGTTAATACTATAGACTTATCAGCAGTAGAGACTATGAGCTGATCTATAGTCGAGATTACTTAGTGATCTACAGTAAAGACTACAGACTGACCTATAGTTAAAGCTAACTTTAAGACTATGGACTGGTCCACAGGCAATACTACAGAATGAAAATTGATCGAAAATTAGCTATAAACAGAAAATTTGAACGAAATTACAATTTTGAAATATCTGTTATTATTGTGTTCTATGCCCCATCTAAAACTGTGGGGTTATTTGTCATAGAAACCAAAGTGTTGAAATTTAATTAAACTCACAATTGGAACCTTTTGCTTAGTACTATTTGTTAACAGTTCAATAGGTACTTGATATCATTTCAAATGTTATATGAAAATAAAATATATCAAATATATCAATTAAACTTAAATAGTTTAATGGACAAACTTAATTTAAAAAGTTTTAACTTAAATAGAAATTTACTACTAAAAAGTTTTTCCAAAATTCTGTATAAAACGATTGGAAGTAATTTTCGGCTATTTAGGCTTCCTAATTAACTTGCTTATCCCCCCCCAAAATAGTGCATTTATTAATTTAAAAAAAAAATTCGGAAAAAAACTAATAAATTTATGCGTGTTCTGACCACATAATTAATTAAATTCATTTACATATTTCAATTTACATTATAATTAATTTCACTACAATTTTCATCTCTATTAAATTATAATTTATGCTCGTATAAAGAAAATTTAACAAAAACTTTAATTGTGAAAACACATACATATGTATGTATAATTAATTCCAATGAAATGTTATACTCTCTAAAATATATTAAATTCAATGATTAAGTACTTTTCGAAATTAATAAAAGCAATTTGTTTAATAGAAAAGAACCATTGAAAACCATGATCCTTTAATACCAATGAGGATTAACAGGAAAATTTTGTTAAGTTTTATAAA